GCCTAGATTTCAAAACAGAATGCATTTTTCAAGCGCTCCCCGTCCTTCCTATGGCTTCGTAGCTCATGAACCGGTCAAGACCGGGTATACCAGCTAGTGCTCTATATCTTGGACAGTAACAAAACTAAAATTTTGGACACTAGCAGGACCAGCCTAACCGAATTTCTGACTAACGTGAAGAAAGACTGCACGCTTCCTGAACAATGCGCTACATTTCACCTATGTCAAACACGTAATCAGAATTAGGTACAATGAAATGTTCCTATCCCTTACATGGCCGAAAAGAACACTAAACAGTTTGCCTCCTCATTGGGGTCATCGTTCGTGTTGATTGTACGAAATATTCTAAAACAAATGAATAGTTGGAAATAAAAGTAAAAGAAAAGATTTAGGACTTACTGAACATTGTAGTCTCGCCCCTCTGCATATGGAAATAATCTGTTACCATTGAAAGTCATTATCTCGCTTACTTTATGTGCGAATTCCGTCCACGAAGTGCCAAATTCATAAAACATGGGTTGGAAATTTCTCATATGACCAACGTAACCGTAAGCCCAAATTCCGGCAGTGTTCCCTTGTCCACTCTTGTACAACAAATCAGCAGCTATGTTGATCATCTGCTTTTCCTGAATTACTCAGTTTGCTCCGAGTAAAAGGGAGTTTATTAGCGTCGGCGAAATTTCTTGGAAGTTTGCAAGAAATATGTAAGCTTCTAAAGTCTCATGTTTCTTTGAAAGTCGCAATTGTGAGTTGCATCAATCATAAAAGAATTTGAGCTGATCGGTATTGAACATAGCATGTAAAAGCGTGTCATGCTTGCGAAATTCGGATTTTTCTATAACTGAAATAAGGAGCGCTCCTGCTATCTACTTACTTAGAAATTTTGCTAAACGAAAGCAGCATGCAACTTTTTTCATTTCTGCTGCTTGTCATATTGAAAACACGATACATTTCACTTACGAGCTGTTTGAACAATGATCACCTAAGCGACATAAACAGCTATCCAGTTTGCAAGAAATATGTAAGCTTCTAAAGTCTCAAGTACGCCAATTCAAATTCCTCTTTAGCTTCTACAAACCGGAGACAAACAACGAAACACCTGCATACATTGAATTACAAGTCGCAGCACTTATTTAGTAGTCATTATGTGTTAATCGTAAATGTTGGATGA